CTTAATGCAATAATTCACTACTTAACTCAATAATTGAATAATTAAATCTATTACTTAATTATTTCATCCACTACTTAGTTAAATACTTCATCCACTACTTAATTAAATATTTTATCCACAACATAATCCACTACAAAATTAAATACTTTGTTGGTTACATAATCCACTACATAATTAAATATTATGTCTTCATCCATTACTAAATTAAAGATTTTATTTTACTTTATCCACTATTTAAACATCACGGTTGCCACCATAAATTAATTTTGATTTTCCCTGATTTCCAGACAAAATTTTTACTTTTTCCTTGACCCTAAAGAATATTCCGATTCACTCTAAAAATTATTATAAATACTTTAAAAAAAATGTTCTATTACATTTATTTACAAATTTCCCCAATTTGTAAAATTATTCGAAAAAATCAATAATTTTATTTAAAATAAATATTTAATAACCATTATTATTTTTCCATAGGAATTAAAATTTTCAAATTTAAACCTATTTACATTCAATAATTTCAATTTCCATAAAATTTAAAAAAAAATTAAATTATTTACAAAAAATGTAATAAAATTCGTTGCTTAAAAATATTCTTTAAAAGATTTCAATTATTTTTAATACAATTTTTAAATGAATTCCTCGAAAAATGTAATTATTTTCAGAAATTTTTCTCAATTTAATTAAATTTCACAAATAATGAAATTCTTTGCTCAAATTCAATTATTTTCAATAACTACTATTTTTAAGATCTCACAAAATAATTCAATTACCTACTTAAAAAAAAATTGAATGAAATTCTTCCCAAAAATTCAATTATTTAAAAAAATATATAATACAATTTTTACAGAAATTCAATTATTTAAAATACAATTTTCATAAATTTTTTTTAAAGAAATTAATTATTTAAAACAATTTTTAAAAACTTACCCGAAAGAAGTAAATGATTTTTGAGAATTTTAATAAAATTTGTTTACAAGAATTCATATATTTTTACTACAATTATAATTAAATTCATTGAAAAGATTTTAGTAAAATTCTTTGCAAGAATTCAATTACATTTAAAACAAAATGAAATTTTTTCTAAAAATTCAAATATTTTCATAAATAATAAAATTCTTCGCAGAAATTCAATTATTTTTTTAAAAATTAAAGAAGAATTCAATTGTTTTTACAAATATAATACATTTCTTTTTAAAGAAATTCAATTATTTAAAAAAAAAATTTAATAAAATTCGTTGCAAAAATTCAATTATTTTCCAAAATAATAAAATTCTTCACGGGATTTCAATTATATTTAATACAATTTTCAGTAAATTCTTCGAAAAATGTAATTAATTTCAAAAATTTTATTAAATTCATTTCTTTGAAAAATTTTATTATTAAATTCTTCGAAAGAAATAAATTAACAATTATTCTTCAATTAAATATTTGGAAAATAAAAACTTGAAATAATTTTTCAAAAAAATTTAATTAACCTTTTTCAAAATTCATGCTACAATGTTTTTAATATTCAACTATTATCTAAAATTCAAACTGAAATTCAATTTCAAATCAATGTTCACTACCGAAAATTCTACGAGAATTCAATTATTTAAATACAAAAATAAATAATAATTTATTAAATAAATGAATGTTTTTCAAAATTGAATTCTCATAAAGAATTTGTTTAAAATAATTTTAATTAAATTTTTTGAATTGTTTCTAAGAATTTTAATAAAATTTTTAGGAATTTTTTCGAGAAATTCGATTAAAATTGTATTAAAAATAATTGAAATTCTACAATGAATTTTATTATATATGAAAATAATTGAATTCCTAAAACGAATTTTATTATTTACGAAAATAATTGAATCCCTGTAATTATTTCCAAAGTTAATTGCAATTTTGGTGAGAATTTTTAAAAATTTTGAACATAATTGAATTTGCGTAGAATTTTAAACAAATTTTTGAAAATAATTGAATTTTGAAGAAGAATTTTATTATTTTTAAAGATGATTAAAATTTTGACGAGAATTTTTTTTTTTTGAACATAATTGAATAAAACTAATTTCAGAAGAATTTTGATTATTAAAAAATATTTCAAAAAAATCCAAGTGTTTTAAATTTTTTTTATTAAATTCATTAAAAATTGAAATTAAAACTTTTTGAAATTCATTTATTTAAGAAAATTATAAACCCAACTCTTTTGAAATTGAATTAATTTTGAAATATTTAAATACAATTATTCACTAAATAATTTATAAGTAGGTAATAATTTTGTATAATAGAAGTAATTAAGTTCTTAAAGAATTAAGTTATTTACAAAGAAATTATTGTCAAAAATATAATAATTGAAGGTTTTTAATTAGAATTTGTGAAAAAAAAATTAGAATTTGTGGTAATTTCATAGCTTATGAGTGAAACAAAAAAAAACGCCGAAATTCGTAATTTTCTTATGAATTCTAAAAATTTAATTTTTTCCAGTACTTTTAATCAAAATTCCTGACTTTTTCCTGATTTCCCTGACCAATTCTACTTTCCCTGACTGTTCCCTAAATTCCCTGATTTTCCTGAACTGTGACAACCCTGAATATTTAATGCACTGCAAAGTGCCATACTTAATTAAATATTTCATCCACTACTTAATCCTTCATTTAATTAAATATTGACTCTACTACTTCCTCTAAAATTTTTCTTTTTCATCTTTAAATTCTTATTTTTGAAAATTCAAAATTTGTTTTAGAAACAAATTTTTTTTTGTGGATTTTCATGGAAAAGAATTCGAAGAAAAAAAAAGAAAGAAAGTAAAAGGAAGAAAAAAGATTCCGTTAGGAAGTATCCAGAGAGAAACTGCAATAATTAACAACGAGGAAAAGGAAAATAAAAAATAGTATTTAAAAAGAACCCCTTGATTTTAATAACAGACGACACGGTCTTAATGATTAATATATATAAATCAATTAGGATATTTATAATCGAGCCCTAGGGGACATTTTTCCTCACTCTGACTTTCAGTGAAGCGCACACGGCATATAATTCTCGATTGCAATCATTCAACGGCGCAATTTTGCCCATCTGCAATAAAGTTTGTTTATAGAACAATAATTAGTCGTCGCATTTATATATATGAAAGGTATGCTCTATGTACGCTCATTGCTGAAACGATACATAAGTTTCTCGTAGTGTTTATAGAGAGCTGTGCAGAGATGACTCGGAGACGATACCCAAAGGCGAATCACGTACACATTGGGTGGCGTAAATCTAATCCACTCGACAGCGGACGATCGACTCGCTACCCGATCATCAGTCTCGTGAAAGTGTATCCACAACTTTTCACGATCTTCATAATTTTTTTTTTCTTTTTTTGCATTTGCTATAGCGCGCGCGAATCATAGATTAAGCCGCGCCTCCACATCACTAGTAGGAAAACGATAAACAGAAACAGCGCAAATGGGATTTATTGTAATTGGTGGGTAATGATGGTTTTAGTTGGCACGGCTCAGCACCTTATATGCGGCGCGCGATGACGTCGATCATAAGTCATGGGACATATAAAATGTGTTAAAATGCAAAAGCAGAGGTGTGCGTAATGATATGTATTTTTTATTTTCATTACATCCACTGAGTGTATACGAGTCAATTCAGATATATAGTACATCCGGCTTGATTAGAATCGAGAATCACTCTAATGATCATTCTTGGTGGTGTGAAAATATACTTTTGACGAGGCATTTTATAGTTTTGAAAAGTAACAGATTCATGGAAATTGTTATTATCCGCCTCAAGGGGGATAGCGTATCAATTTTCTTCGTCTATTATTTATCTCACTAATTTAGATTAAATTTCTACTTTCTTTTCTTACCCTTGTCGTCGTGGTTTAGCATTTAGTGAGCCTTTAATTTACTTTTTTTTCTTTTTGTTCTCTAAAGCGAAAAAATTATTAGTTAATAATAATTTGACTGTCCCTCAAAAATGAAAGGATGAAATATTTAATTTGGTTGTGCGGATGTAAAATTAAGAAGTGGATTAAGAAGCGGATAAAAGATTTAATTAAGTAGTAGATAAAGTAGCAGAAAAAGTGTTTAAAGAAGTGCATCATTAAGTAGCAGATGAAACATTTAATAAAATATTTGATGAAGTATTTGATTACGTATAGCATTGAGTACTAGTAGTATAGCAGATGAAACAATTAAATATTGGATGAAGCATTTCATTAGGTATTAGTAGCAATAATAATAATAATGAATAAATAATAAATGAATAATAAAAGGTCCTCTTATTTCTGTTACTCGGGGGCATCATCGTCGATCGTGCGAACCTTCCGTATAGTTTTGTTCGGGAACTGAAAGTAAAAACCGATTTGTCAGTGGAGGCAAATCTTCGCCAAGCACTTTGGTCTCACTTTCACGCGCGCGCTTTAACAAACAAAGTAACAAATCCCTCTCCTTACATTTATTTTCTTTATTACGCTTCTCTCTTTCTCTCTTTCACTCTCGTCGACAACAACTCAAGATACATTGCTCTCTTTTCATTTACTCGCGCGCTTCCTCTCAGAGATTCATATTATATGAAATTCAGCACTCTGCTTTGCGCGGGTGCAATAAATCAAGACGAATTGTATATGTAGTCGCACTCGTTTTCAAATGAATGCACACTGCAGTAAACTTTATGTACGTGTATTTTCCTGCGGATGTGTAATGTGTTTCCCTAGAATTTTTTTTTTTTTGCTTTCAGACTCTAGACGAGAATTTTCAATTAATTAAACATTAGGTCAACTTTCATTTCGATCAGGTTTAAATAGAAAATTAGAGTTTAATTCACGAGGTTGATATGCAGTAGAACCTAAATTACGATGCTTCATTATCCGAAAATTTAAAAAGTGGCTTTTAGTGCCATAAAAAAGTATCCGAATAGTATACTATTCAGATACTACTGCTACTACTACTACTACTACTATTTGCTATAGCAAATATAGTAGGTGCGAAAAGCCTGTCCTCTTGATAAAAAAATAATAAACTCACCCCAAAGTTGATCGCAGTTGGCAGCTCCATCACTTCCTCACTTCCATCAGTATCCAAATGATTTTTGCTGGAAATTTCAATTTCCGATTGTAAACTCGAAGAAACTTCCACCACAATATCTGTTGTTGTTGTTGTCGTCGTCGTCGTCGAAACTTCCGGCACATTCACTATCAATATATCGCTGGAATCACACTTGCTCATAATATTATCCTGAATCTTCGTTTCCTTCTTGGTTTCCTTCTGGGTTCCTTTCTCGGTTCCCTTCACGGTTCCCTTCACGGTTTCCTTCTCGATTTCCTCCTCGGTTGCTGGACCTTCGACAAGGTTATCAGGATCCCTCGTCGTCTTCGTCGTCGTCGTGGTCTTTTCAAGAACGCCAATGTCGCTTGCATCTTCGTACAGTGAACCTTTACTGCCCTTATCGAAATCATTCCCTGATTCATCGAGTCCTTTCTCTAAATTCTCCGAATCATGAATATCGTGCTTGTTTATTTCTGATGCATCGACGGATGAGATTGCTTCCTCAAGGTCGTCATCAGTTGTAACCAATTCGGAAATATCTGGTTTGCTGCTATTTGAATCCTTCAAATACCAGGAACTACAATTCTCCCTTTTTCTCTCAACCGAATTGTCCTCGCTTTTCGACAGGGCGCCCTTACACTTCTTCAGATAACTCTTCACTCTTCTCGCTTTACTTTTCCTTGTTTCGTGACCTCTTGTTATTGTCTCGCCGTCATTTGGAGGCTTTTCATCATTTGACTTCTGCGACTGTTTCTCGACATCTTTCGATTCTTGATCTTTGGTGTCTGCAGTCGATGTAGAAGAGGAGTCGTCGTTTTCCTTAGCTAGGGTCCAGGTCTCGTCCTTTTCGGATGCTCGACGCTCCACTGGGATCACCTGCAACAAAAATTTTTAGGTTCGTAATTAGTAGAGTTCGCATTAGAATTGAGTTCTTAAAATAAAGCATTAAATATTATGTAATATATTTGAAAAATATTTTGCATAAGTAGAGCACTACGTCTATTGATATTTATCATTGTTTCTGAAGAGTTCTTGGTAGTAGTCAACTTAGTTTACTTAATTATCGGGGAGGATTCTTCAGGAACGGCTTTTCCCCGATCGAATGGGTGACAATTTTATGCTAACCACCAAAAATCCAAAATAAAAAGTTGTAGTTGATGCTAAAGATTAATAAACCCAAATAAAAAGTTGCAGATGATGCTAAATATTAATAAACCCAAATAATAAAAAGTTGCGAATGATGCTAAGGATTAATCTTTAGCATCATCTGCAACTTTTTATTTGGGTTTTTTGGTGGTATTCTTTCTTGTATCCTGATCTAGTTCGGTGGAACTGTTCAGGAACGGCTTTTCACCGAACGAGTGGGTGACAAAGTTATGCTAACAATAAAAAGAAACCAAATAAATATCATCTATTTGCTCGACATGCAGTACTACGAAAAATTGGTTTGCAAATCGGCAAGAGAATCAAACTGAAGTTCAGATAGATGGATTCAAACTTTTGATCGTTTTTTCTTTTTTCTTTTAACAAGAAAAAAAAATGTCATTTCTTCTAATCAAAGGACAAGAAAGTCTCACACAGCAACTCAGCGGTAGTTACACAACTCCCGGTAAGTGAACATGTGTAACATGCTACAAGAGAGGAGAGAAACGAGCTCGTCTTGAATCGTTTGTTTCATGCCGGAAATGGCGCTCGGCATTAAAAGGATCCTGGTGGGGCTCTCTCTCTCTTTCTCTCTCTCAGATATATAAACAAAACATATACATATATACAAAACGTCTAAAGAAAGGAAGGTTTAGGGGGATGTCTCCGAAGTCTAGTGTGCTTGATCGACAGCTAAGCAAGCTGAGCAATACAACAACAGCAAAAGACTTTCATCGTTTGAGAGAGAACGGCCCCCTCACAAGAGGAGATTGAATCTTAGTACGATGGAAGCGAGATAACCGAGAGGCGTGGGAGCGAATACGGCTAATCTTTCGAGCGAGTAGCTCATTCAAATCCCGAGCGTGTCTCCTTCTCCACCTTCACCGTCACCTTTTACGATATAAACCGCAATACAACTACATCTAATGACCATAGTGCCACCATGTCATTGACTTGAAAAGAGGGAAAGTTCGACAAGCTACTTCATAAAGTCTCTTCACTTCTCGTTCTTTTTTTTTCGAAAAGAAAGGAGGGGACCAAAAATAATGGCACGCTAACATCTTCGCCAAAGAATTTTCGACCACTTTTTTCCAGCAGTCTTTTGGTTCTTATTAATTTTTACCAAAAGGACAGTATTCTTTCAAGAGTTCCTAAAAGTATCGTCGACCCTCAGTTTTTTGTTCAAAAACTATTATCTGGTATTTTTAGGACTCTTTTCAATTCCTTTCGCTCAACGTCGACGCTAACTTCGAGGACCTAGACAATTTTTCGAAATTGACCAATTTTTATATTTTCTTAAACAAGCCACTTGACATTCAAAAGAGCAGGGGGAATATTGTAATGATAAAAGGATAGAAAACGTGTTTTTCAAACTCATTACCATTTATTTATATAACGATATCGTTTAATAAGGATCAATACTAATCGATAGGTGAGATTTCCGATAGGTGTTTTAGTTTTTTGTATTCTTTAAAAAGAGAAGAGAAAGAGAGAGGGGGAAAAATTATAACAGAGTGAAAACTAATGAATATTGCTTTGACAACATCCTGGTGCTTAAGTTAACACTCTATTCAGTGTAAATTAAATAGACTTGTTGCCTCTATATAATTCGCTTTTTCACCTTCTGTTCAATAACAAATTGTTTCCTGTTTTCGATTTTCCAAACACGTAAGTTCACTATCAATATTTTCCTTCCCCACGTCATTAATTTTTCTGTTCTCTCTCTCTTTCTCTCTCTGCTATATTTTATTGATATTATTATTTTCATTATCATCGTTATTATTATTACTATTACTCTTATTATTACTATTACTAATATTATTACTATTATTATTACTAATATTATTACTATTATTACTAATATTATTACTATTATTACTAATAGTATTACTATAGTTTTTATTATTTTTACTGTTCATTAATATTACTATTGTTTTTACAATTATCGTTTATACTATTCTTACTGTTTATTATTATTATTATTACTATTTTTTTTATTATTTCACTTCCAAATAAAATAAAAAAACAACTAATTCTCATGTGAGATGATAATTAGTTTTTTACTCAAGTTTCAATAATTTAAATCTTTTAGGAATACTTTTATGCGAAACTAAAAGGAGAAGAAAAATAGAATTCACGCTCTAATTAATTTACAGTCAATAAACAAATTATAGAATATCTTTTAAAGTCTCAACTCGCAAAAATCACTACGCTTTCGTATTTCGCGAAATCTTGAATCAATTATGAGATGCACATGGTTTTTTTTTTACTCTCCATTGAACCATGAAACGAAGTTAGAATTGGAATGCGAAAAAAGAGAATCTGCGTATAATTAAAAACAGCGAATTTCAATCTGTAAATAAAAGAAAATTCTACCGCTTCTTTCCCTCTCGTTAAAAAGCGATACAAGTTTTCTAAACACAACCGAATATTTAATAGTTTTTAATTGAAAAAATAATAATAATAATAGTTTTTTCATTTGTGAAAACAATTGAAATTCAAATATAAAAAATTTATTGAATTCATGAATGTTTCTTAGATATAAATTCTCATAAAGAATATTACCAATAAATTTTTAAATAATTGAATTCTTTTGACGAATTTTAATAAAATTTTTAAAAATAATTGAATTTTTCGAGGAATTCGATTAAAATTGTATTAAAAATAATTGAAACTCTGCAATGAGTTTTATTATTTATTAAAAGTAATTGAATTCGTGAGAAGAATTTTATTATTTACGAAAATAATTGAATCCATGGAAAAATTTTATTATTTATGAAAATAATTGAATGATTGCGAAGAAATTTAAAAAAAAAAATTTGTAAATAATTGAATTCCTGTGAAATTTTTATTATTTTTTCAAAATAATTAAAGCTTTGCGTAGAGTTTTATTCAATTTTTTTTTTAAATAATTGAATTCTGGAAAATTTTATTAAAATAGTAGATATTAAAAATCATTCAATTAAGGAAAATTTTTTAAAATAATTGAAATTTTGCCAAGAATTTTATTATTTATAAAAATAATTGAAATTTTGAAGAGAATTTTTTTAAACTTTTGACGCATAATTGAATTTCTGCGAAGAATTTTATTACTTTTAAAAATAATTGAATTTCTGCAATCATTTGCAACTTTAATACAATTTTTAAGAACAATTACATTTTTCGAAGAATTTGATCAAAATTGTATTTAAAAAAAAGGAAATTATACTATGAGTTTTATTATTTATGAAAATAATTGAATTTCTAAAAAGAATTTTATTATTTATGAAAATATTAATTGAATCTCTGTAAAATTTTTTATTATTTATGAAAGTAATAAAATTATTGCAGAAGAAATTTATAAAAAAATTTGTAAATACTTGAATTTCTGTTTTAAATTTTGATAATTAATGAAAATAATTAAATGTTTGCGTAAAATTTTATCAAATTTTTTTTAACTAATTGAATTCTTTTGAAAAATTTTATAAAATCAGTAGATAATTAGAAATCATTGAATTGGGGAAAACTTTTAAAAAGAATTGAAATTTTGCCAAGAATTTTATTATTTATAAAAATAATTGAAATTTTTCAGAGAATTTTTTTAAACTTTTGATCATAATTGAATTTCTGCGAAGAATTTTATTACTTTTGAAAATAATTGAATTCTTATTGAGATGAATTTTAATTTTTCTTTTTAAATAATTGAATTCTTATTAAAACGAATTTTAATATTTCTTTTTAAATAATTGAATTATGTTGTGAAATTTTATTGAAATAGTAGAGATTGAAAATAATTGAATTCTGATAAATTATTAAAATTAATTAAATTTCTACGAAGAATTTTATTAAAATTATTTTGAAAATAATTGAATTTTGGAGAAAAATTTTATTATTTCTAAAGATAATTGAAGTTTTGACGAGAATTTTTACAAATTTTTGAATATAATTGAATTTCTACGAAGAATTTTATTAAAATTATTTTGAAAATAATTGAATTTTTGTGTAATTTTTATTATTTATGAAAATAATTGAATTTTGAAGAAAAATTTAATTATTTCTAAAGATAATTGAAATTTTGACGAGAATTTTTACAAATTTTTGAATATAATTGAATTTCTACGAAGAATTTTATTAAAATTATTTTGAAAATAATTGAATTCTTGTTTAATTTTTATTATTTATGAAAATAATATAATTTTTTAGAAAAATTTAATTATTTCTAAAGATAATTGAAATTTTGTCGAGAATTTTTACAAATTTTTGAATATAATTGAATTTCTACGAAGAATTTTATTAAAATTATTTTGAAAATAATTGAATTCTTGTGTAATTTTTATTATTTATGAAAATAATTGAATTCATGTGTAATTTTTATTATTTATGAAAATAATTGAATTTTGAAGAAAAATTTAATTATTTCTTAAGATAATTGAAATTTTGACGAGAATTTTTACAAATTTTTGAATATAATTGAATTTCTACGAAGAATTTTATTAAAATTATTTTGAAAATAATTGAATTCTTGTGTAATTTTTATTATTTATGAAAATATTTGAGCATTAAAAATATTGTTCAAGAGTATTTCAAGTCATGATGAAAAAAATTCCCTGACTTTCGAAAAAATTCCCCAACATTTCTCTGTTTTCCAGGTGTTCTATAGACATTCTGATTAAACAAAAATTCAGAGAGTAAAAGAAATGTTTAAATAATAATCATCTGTGAAAATAGTAAATATACCGTAATCGACATATTAA